TAACAGAATGAATGAAATAACAATTATTTAATTCTAATCTAAACCAATGGGTAAATTTAAACTATAAGCTCCTATCAACTTTAGCAGCAACTTATGCTTCAGCCTTCACGCGTAGGTCAATTTTACCCAGTCCAACTACTACACTGCCTCGGGCTTCTGTAAATTTTTACAAATGTGTAAGCCACAAGTTGTATCTAATACTTTAACAATGAGAGCTAGTTATAGACATATGTATTTAGTTTGATGATAAAAATACATGAGCTTGAAGCACCAGGTGCTTTGGCCAGATAAGCCTTATACAACTCACAATCTCTCTTCCAATGCCCCTTCTCTTTGTAGTAGAGGCAAACATCCTTTGCAACCTTTGGCTTCATATGACCTCCACCTTTAGGCTTCAGAGCTGAAGGATTAGGTCCAACCTTACCTTTGTTCTTTTGCTTATTCTTGTTCTTAGAACGAGACTTAACATTAAAGCTTACTATATGAGCAGTCTTTCCCTTAGAGGTCGAGGCTTCATAAAACTTGAGCATGTTATGGAGTTCAGACATGGTCGCTATCGTCTTGTTTAAATTATAATTCACAACGAAGTTAGAAAATGAACTCAGAAGCAAATACAAAATGATAGCAGCTGAGACGCGATCCTCAAACTTAATTCTGGCGATTCAATTAAGTCAATCATTTTGAGGACGTGTTCAAATACGTTGCCACCCTCTTGAAGCCTACACTTGAAAATGTCTATCAAAAGTTCATACTCTAGAGTCTGACTTTTTGAATCAAACAAACTTTTCAATTGTTCAAGCATCTCGAAGGCGCTCATCATATCATGCTGCCTTTGCAACTCCATAAACTTTAATAATAGTGATTATTGATAGTGATTAATAGTAGTTATTAATAATAATGATCAATAATACTGATTAATATAATGATTAATCATTATATGGGTCAGGTCTAGCAGCTTTTTGAAAAGGTTTTGGCTTAGTCCCCCTTTTTCTTTTGTACCTTCTTTTATTCTAATAAAATACTGGCAAATGTTTCCTGGCATTTGCCCCACTGATTTTGGTGGTTTGCCTTCCGGGATTAAAAAAAATATATATAATGATTAATAATAATGATTTATAATAATGATTGATAATTGTTGGGATATTAAACACATGTCCAAATACCCTAGGAAGCCCATTATGCATATGGGCCTAATCGCAGTCCAATCAGCTCGGAAGCCTGCACGGCTTGCCCGCACAGGTAGCGCCGCTCGGGACGACCCCCTTGATTGGGCTTCTCTATTCAATCCATCAACTGCCCAAGGACGAACTCCTCAAACAACTGGCCGGAAAGCTAGAATTGACGGGAAGCGCCAGATATGAAAGATTTTATGGTTGAGCGCATCACCCGCACCACCTAGGCACCTACTACCTTGTAGTACAAATAGCAACATTTATTTCATTGTAAAAGCTTGACAAACTTATAACTTAGTGATAGACTTCTCTCCAGTTTTTCTATATTCTTCAGCTTGATCTACGGGGTCGGAGCTCATGCTCTGCACAAGTGTTGTAATCGTTCTGAGGACTCAATAGAACTAGATCCACATTGCCTCTTATTTATTTGCTATTATCTCTTACTCTTTCTTGCCTTAAATACTCATTAAAACTAACCAATCAAAAGGACTTCCCGAGCATAATCTCAACATTGACACCATCTGTGAGAACCTGAATAAAAATTCCCAAGCAAGCTCTTGTGCTAGACAACACTCTTTACAACTAACAAACCAACATTTTTGACAAAATGGTAAGACAATCATCCAGGAACACCAGGGACCTCTCTGAGCGATTGCGCGAAAGTATAAGATCACACGCTCTCTATTCCAGTGAACCATCCAGCAGTGGGTGGGCAACCCTGGGCAGGACAGGGAGACCTTGCCCAATTGATCCTAATTGAGGCCCGTCGCGATTCTCGTTTTCCGAGGGCAATGACGGATACCGTGAAGAACATGGCCAACCAAGGAGACATGGAGCACACCGTGTATACCGCCAAGATGGAGCGCACCACTCTATCGCCCGTTCAGTGGATGTAGTCACTCGGTAGATATGAGGGAGAGACTAAGGCCTCTCATACCTCAACCTTCACTCGAGCTGGCCGAACATCGGTCAATCGAAGGTTTGAAGGGAAAGTTCTTTCTCTCCCATATGTAGTGTTTTTAGGTATAAGATAAGCGAACTAATAATTGAGCAGCATAATTTCATCTCACATATGTAGTGCTTTAAAGTATAAGAAGATAAGAGGATTAATTATTGAGTAAAAAAATTATCTCTCTCATACGTAGTGCTTTCAGCCTTTTTAGGTATAAGAAAATAAGTGTACTAATAATTGAGCAGAATAACTTTCTCTCTCTCTCTCATAGTGCTTTTAAGTAGGGGCGGACACGGTCCGAGTCGATCCGGATAATTGATAAATTTTTAGGAACAACCGGTTCTATTGAATGAGTTGGTTCGGTCCGGGTATATCAAATCTCGATATAGGAACTGGGCCTTTCCCGCCCCGTTTGAAATGGGTCGGGTCAGTCCGGGATCTCGTTTTAAAAAAATAGCGCTACACTATCAAAATATCTAGTACGCAATAAAATTTTTAAACTAATTAAGTGTCAATGTCACTTGTTGAGGTTTATACCCGAAGATCCGAAAGCCCAACACAAGCCTCGGATATTGTAGGTATGTAGGGTTGGATTAAAATGTGTATAAAATATAAAACAGTGAGATATTTGCTCAACTCAGAAGCTTACTGATATTCGATAAATATGTGATTACACTGAGACTACCCGAACGGTAGATGGATATGAGATTACAAGGATAGGAGATGTAAATCTATTGCTAAGCTCTGAGTATTAAAATGCTAACCCCTTACAATGATCTAAACATGGATATTTATACTAAGATGGGGATGGGTAAGGTGGACACGTGGTCGAATCTGGTAGGCCATCGCCTCTGCCATGTAAGCACTCATGCCCCCACTTGCAACTGTCATGATCCAGCATTAAATGCGGCCTCCACTTGCTGACTGCCCGTTCGGGCAAGGTGTTCGGTGTGTGGGACCCCGCCATAGGTGACAATTTCTACTTGAAGTATCCCGAACGCCGATCGATATTTGGGCCTTGATACCTTGGCATAATCGTTACCCAGAATGTTCCAAGTATAAGTTTTATCCCGAATGCCGTTCGGGAGTTCTTTGGGCTTGCTGCTTCTTCCCGGCTTTGGGCCTAGGGATATTGGGCCTGGACCCAATATCCCAACACTAGTCCCCCACTTCCTATGTCTCGAACGGTAGTGAGTGCATAAGGAAGTAGAAGATTATTGCCCGAATGCTGTTCGGGTGAGTATCGGATGGCATTCCGCCGGTTCCCGAGGCATATTTTGACGGTTATTTGCAACTGTCGTTTCACTTCTCCGATAAACGCCATGATTACCTGAGAAGGATTCTCTGTGTGACACGTGTCTCTGTCATCATTACAAAAAACGTGTCCTCTTCTGATTGGCAGCTGAATCGGCGTGACAGAGTATAAATAGGCTCTTCTGGTTTTGATTCTGGGTTTCGAAACTTTGCATCCCCGGCTTATAATTCATCCTCTAGAGCTTCATCCGTAGCTTCTGTTCAGGTATCCTTCGAGTTTCCTTCTACTGTTTAGTTCCCTCGTTCGGTGAGAATGGCACCCCTTCGTTCATCTGAACCCTCTACCTCCGGCACTGTAATTCCAGAAGAAAACCCCAATGATACGCTGCAAGTTGTCCGTATTCCGGCGGAGGTTAACGGCGATGATTCCTCTTCCTCCGATGTTTATTCTGATGGCACCAAGTCGGGGGATGAATTGGAGGTTATGGAAGCCGGCCCTCCAAGCGGCGTTTCCTGTCATAAGCTTGACCTAGCTCTTATTAGGTTTAGGCGCCAAAAGCTCACGGCCCAGAATCGGGCCCAAATTCAGATGCTAATTCCTGATTCGGTGGACTTCCGCCTTCAATCGGGTCTCCACCCAATGCGCCATTTCCCAGGGATGGTTGTGGTCCATTTCGACTCAGTCAAGGCCGGCCTTAGATTCCCACTTCACCCCTTTTTTGTCTCCCTTTTAAATTTTTACAATGTAGTACCAGCCCAAATAATGCCGAACTCCTACCGGTCGATAGCTGGTTTCATTTGTCGTTGTCACAGTGTCGAGGTCACACCCACTCTAGAGCTTTTCCACTATTTCTTTTTGGTTATCCCCCAGCAGTCCCACGGCTTCCTGGTGGTAAGCTCCCGTCCAGGACATATTTTGTTCTGTGATGCCCCTTCTTCCATTAAGGGTTGGAAAGATAGGTTTTTCTTTGTTTCTGTCCCGAACGGTTTGATTCCTAGGAAGTGGAACGCATTTCCTCCTAAATCCCCCGAGCCATTCATCTCTGAGGAGCTTAGCCAACATGTCATTGCTGTGGAGGCAGGAGGCTGCTTCAAAATCATGTCTTACCTGACTCCCGAACGGCTAATTAGGGCCGGGATAGGTACTGCCCGTATTCCTGGACTTACTTGACTGAAAACCAAGTACCATGGCCCGGGCGGTCCTTCCCGTGTGATAGTACTATAAATCCACGTGTGAACCGCTCGGTACTAATTTGTTCCTTTGTTATCTTTTCAGCTCTAAAGCAAGGCGAATCTTCAGACTCCGAAGGAGCCAATCCCGAACACCCGGCCATGGATGACACCAGGCTTTTCACTGTTGGATTTGATGACGAGCCACCCACCTCTCCTCCTAAGCAGCAGAGGAAGACAAAGAGAAAGAGGCTTAGGAAAGCCGATCAGGGGACATCCTCCCAAACCGCCCCCCTCCTTCCCGAACAGCCTGAACCCGTTCGGGATGTAGAACCTGTGCAGCAGGTTGCTCCTGATCAGCAAACTCATGCTGATACGCTGATGGATCAGCTTTTTTCTGACCAGCAGTCCCACCATTTTTCTGCTGAGGAGGTGGCTGCTCATCAGGCTGACTTGGCTAGTCAATTCGAGCGGATCTCCCTCTACGATCCTGCTCATGAGATGTTGGAGCGGGGTGGCTGTCCGGCGAGCCAGATCTGGTCTACGTCAGGATTTTTCAATGGCCACAATCTTCCCCCGATACCGGTGGAGGAGGCCGAGGAGTGTATTGCTCTGACTGTCCTGAAGGTAGCTCATTATCTTATGCTCATAATTCACTCTTTTCTTTGCTTGATAACTTATCATGTGCTTATATTTTACTTTCTGATCATTAGGCGGGAATATACAGCCTGAAACTCAGAGAGGCCAGGCAGGCAAAAGAACAAAGCCTGCTGATGGCCAAAGAAACAGCTGAGCAGGCAGTGGAAGCTGAACGGCGAGCATTTGCCGAGGAGCGGAAGAAGCTAGGAGCTGAGGCCGGGGAGCTTCGTGTCCAAGTGGGCTCTCTCCAGGCCAAAATTGCGGCAGCTGAGGCCGCTCAGGTCAAGTTTTCTGAGGCTCCTCCCCAAATCCCGGACGGCCCGGCTGAAATGATAGTTGATCTATCTGCCGTTCGGGATCAATTCAAAGCTTCCGAGGAGTTTCTGGCTCTCAAGGAAGAATACGCCACCGAACAGCTCCCTGCTGTTTTCGGGAGGCACTTGGAGAAACTGGCCGGAGAAGAGCGCCAGAAGGAGGGGATCAGGGTGCTTGATCAGCATTCTGTCACCAAGGAGTGGGCTGAAAACTTCGCCCGCGGGGTCTACAGCTCAGGTTGTCAACATATGCTTCAGCCCCTCCTCCCCCTCATAGAAAAACATATGGGCCGAGCGGTGCAACCCTCTGACTTTCCCGCTGATCTTCATCCCGATCATCTGAACGCCCTGATGGCTCAGATGAAAAAGTGCCGGCGAGCCCTGGGGATGGATGTGGTGCAGATTGTTGACGAAGCTGATGATGAAGAAGATGATGAAGAGGGTGAAGATCATCCCGAACAGTAGATTAGACATTATCTGTATTTCCTTTCCTTTGAATCAGTAGTTTTTTGTACTTTCCGGCCAGTAGAGCCGATGAATATACAATTTTTGCCTGCTCATCTCGTCTTTGTGACTTCATATTTGTTTTTCACTTATCAATTTGCCTCTGCAATACGTTTCATGTTGCTTTGTTGATCTCCGTAATCTGAAGCGATCAGGTCTCCGGTTTGCGTCACCCCTTCGCTAAGTCCAGAATTTAGGATTTTAATATTGATCGACCTGTTTATTCGATATCATTCATAATGAACTTCATAGTTCATTATGGAGTATAAACTATGTTTCTTCCTCTGTTCGGGGTATAAACTCCTGTACTGGGTACAACCATCCTGTACTGGGTACTATGTTTTTTTTTTTTTTTTTTTTTTTTTTTTTTTTTTTTTTTTTTTTTCATCTCAGCCTCATGATTGCGATGTAAGCTGTTCGACCCTTCCCTAACACCAAAGTTGAGGTGCGAGCTGTTCGATTTATCTCCGTCTGTTGTTCTTTGTTTCCTGAACGCGCAAGACATAATCTTCAACGCCTGCTGCGTCCCCGAGCACCATGTTTCAGATGCATTGATACACTTGTAATTTCCGTGTGTATGTTTATGTTTTTAGCTAGTTTTGGTTGTTTAATGTTTCGGAAATTACACACTTTTGGTGTAATAGTTTAGTTTGTTAGATCCTTGTAAATTGTTTAGATTAGGATTATTCTGAGCTCAAACAGGTCCATTATCACTCAAAGGATGGTTGGTGAACCCCAAAAGTGGAAAGAAGGTGCAAATCACAAAACAAAGGGAAAAATCCTGATTTTTACCTTTACTCGGTCGAGTATTACCTATACTCGATCGGGTATAAGGTTGAAACTTCAACTCAAATCGGATCCGAAGACAAAGGAACATGCCGGGAAGATTTTGACCACGATTCAATGTCTATACTCGATCGAGTAGACCGACATACTCGATCGAGTATACCTTTGAATTTAAACCTGAAATCGGTCGAGTATAGCGCGAATATCACTTTCTACGCATACTCGACCGAGTATGAATATATACTCGATCGAGTACACCTTTGATTTTTAAAGCTGAATCGGTCGAGTATACCTCGAATCTGGCATTTCACACATACTCGATCGGGTACTATGTATATACTCGATCGAGTACTCGTAGTCCCATCCCAAAAGCCTATAAATACACCCTTTTTCCTTCACAATTGATCACCAATTCCTTTATACTCTTAAGCTCAGTTTAGAATAGCATTTCTCTATATTTCTTTTAGCATGTTTAGTCTCCAAATGAGGAGCTAAACTTCCATTTCTTGGTTTTGCTCTTGAAGCTTGATTGATTATTAAAGTTGTGAGTTATTTTCTTACTCTCTCTTCTTGATTATTAATTCTTCCCTTAATCTCATTCTACATCATTGTTGGAGGGTTGCTAAGTGACGATTAGTTAACGTTCCAACATTGATTATTACTAGAAACGATCAACGAACCGATGGTTAATCGTTGATAGTTTCATAAGTAAGTAACTTCGGTTTGTTAATGCACGGTCGTGGTTAATAAACTTAAGAGGGATTAATTTTGTTGGTTAAACCGAAACCGTTGCGTTGAGGTTATCAATCTCAATTGATTTCATCAAGGAGTTAAGGAGGTTAAATGCTACTGTTATATCGGTATACGGCGTTGTTCTATATTCGATTAATAGTAAGGGTTATTAATGAACGGTCGTTGTTAATAACTACCCTCGATGAACTGGATATACTCCGCGATTGAGTATTCGAGAGGGGATAAGTTATGGAAATAACAATGATCGACTAAAATATATCAACAAGTGGAAAGTAGCAAGACCAAGTCCCTTTTATTCTTGAATTTAATCCCATATAACTCGTTCATCTTCGTGTTTAAATTAATTAAACCACTCAACAAACAAAACCCCCCTTTACTTACTATTTATATAAAAAGAAAGTTATTCCTTTCCCTGTGGATACGAACTCTACTTCACCTATACTACGTATAAGTGCTAGTGTTGAATTTATTTTGAGTGCACTCACGACAAAGTGCACGTCAAATTTGGCGCCGTTGCCGGGGAAAGGCAATTAATTTTTCTTTTTATTTTTTTTTACAGAAAAAGAAAAAAAATATATATGGTTCAAAGTATAAAGATTTCTATTTCTGCTGAGCTTTGTAGTACATGGTAAAATATCGTTCACTGAACGAAATCACATACCACTCAAACCCCGAAATAGAACGAACTCTCGAGCGGTTGAAAAACAAATTTTCAAACTCCGACTCGGGAGAATCATCAAGTGCTAGTTCTCATTCTAGCGAGACCGAAGAGCCAATCACTATGGCTCATGAAACGAGAACATTGAGGGAGCTCACGGCTCCGAACCTAAATCAACAACCCCTATGTATCACTTTCCCAACTCTTGATACGGGGGTCACATTTGAGCTAAAATCTGGGCTCATTCATCTACTTCCCTCTTTCCATGGCCTACGGGGGGAAGATCCGAACAAACACCTGTCGGAGTTCCATATTGTGTGCACAAGCATGTGCCCCAATGGCGTGTCCGAAGAGCAAATCAAGCTGAGAGCTTTCCCTTTTTCTCTAAAAGACACCGCCAAGGACTGGCTATTCTATCTTCCTTCGGGGAGCATTAATACATGGGCTCAAATGAAAAAGAGTTTCCTCGACAGGTATTATCCCGCATCTATCTCTTCAAGTCTCAAAAAGCAAATCAGCAACATTGAGCAAGCCGATGATGAGACCTTGTACGAATATTGGGAGCGCTTTAAGAAATTATGCGCTAGCTGCCCATATCATGGATATTCGGAACAAGATCTCATCCTCTACTTCTATGATGGGCTTGTTGATCAAGATAGACGCATGGTGAATGCGGCATGTGGAGGGGGTATTGTCAACAAAACCCCTTCTCAAGCAAGAGACCTCATCTCCGAGTTGGCCGAAAACTCGAGGCATTATAATGGGAGGTCATCATCAAAAAGAGTTATGGCAGCGGAATCCAACAATTCGTTGGAAAGTCAAGTGGCCGGCTTGACTTCTTTGGTCAAAGATTTTCTTTTGAATCCAAAAACCCAAGAAGTCAAGGTCTGCGGCATATGCTCAACACAAGGGCACCCCACCGATTCTTGCCCAACATTACAAGAGGAGAACCCCGAGCAAGTCAATGCTTTGGGTTTCCAAGGTCAAAGAAGGTACGATCCACATGGCAACACTTACAACCCGGGGTGGAGGGATCATCCCAATCTAAGGTACGGAAACTCTCAACCTCCTCAACAATCAAACCCTCCCCCTCAACAATATAAACAACAAGGTCAAACATCGAACTCGAGCATGTCCACCGAAGACATGATTCGATCACTTGCCATGAACATGGCTACGATGCAACAAAGTGTGACCCAATTCCAAGAAACAACCAAATCAAGCATCCACAATTTGGAAAACCAAATGAGTCAAATCTCAAATGCCGTAAGTAGGCTTGAAGCTAAGGATTCGGCAAAACTCCCATCTCAAACTGAGCCGAATCCAAGGCAACAAGCTCACGCGGTCACTTTGAGAAGTGGCAAGGAGTTGGTTATGGCTAAAGCAAAAGCAAAGAGCCATGTTGGGGAGGAAGAGGAGGATATCTTGGTGCCAAGCACAAATCCTCAAAATGAAGAGGAGAAGGAGGAGGAAGTCACACCTCAAAGAAAGTTTCCACCGCTCAACTCATACGAGCCGGTACCACCTTTCCCGGAGGCTCTCAAGGACAACCGCAAATACAACAATGACAAAGATATCTACGAGACCTTCAGCAAATGTGAGGTAAATATCCCTCTTCTCAATTTGATTAAAGGTGTTCCTAGATTTGCAAAGTTTTTAAAAGAGCTTTGCACAATTAAACGGAAACACAAATTAAATGGAAAGCATAAAATCCAAGTAAGTGAAAGAGTATCGGCCGTTTTTCAAAAGAAATTGCCTAAAAAGTATAGTGACCCGGGAATGTTCACTATACCATGTAAACTTGGAAATTCTAGTTTTTCGAGGGCTATGTTAGATTTGGGTGCATCAATCAATGTCATCCCATATTCTCTATATAAGTCCCTAGAACTAGGCCCTTTACATGAAACAGGGGTTGTTATCCAACTTGCCGATAGATCCAATGCTTACCCGAAAGGTGTAGTAGAGGATGTACTCGTCATGGTGGATAATTTAATTTTTCCCGCTGATTTTTACGTTCTCGAAATGGAGAACGATAAAAATGCAGTCCCTATTTTACTAGGAAGACCCTTTTTAAAAACGGCCAAAGCAAAAATTGATGTCTTTAGTGGAATACTAACCATGGAGTTCGATGGTGAGAAAGTTGAATTTAATATCTATGACTCCATGAAATATCCCACCGATAATCACTCTCTTTTTGCCATTGATACTTGTGACACTTGGGTCCAAGATGTATTCGAAATTGAGGGAAAAGATGAAATATTAAGCTCAATTGAGAACGATGTAGAGGATTTCACTTTGGAATACTCTATGTCAAATAACATGAAGGTTATGGTGGCGGAGTTAAATCAACTCCCACTTTTGCCACCGGGCTCTAAAGCCCTCCCACTAACCATTCCGAGCGAGAAGCCGCTACCATCTGTTTTGCAGGCACCGCAGGTGGAATTAAAACCACTTCCTGAAAATTTGAAGCATGTGTTCTTGGGCGAAAATCACACTCTACCGGTGATTATCTCAAACGCCCTAGCCCAAGAACAAGAGGAAAGATTGATTGCGGTCCTCAAGGAGTACAAGTTGGCCATTGGATGGTCTATTGCCGACATCAAAGGCATTAGTCCATCCACATGCATGCACCGGATCCTACTTGAAGATGAGGCCAAGGCGGTGAGGCAACCGCAAAGAAGATTGAACCCACCCATGATGGAGGTGGTAAAAAAAGAAGTGATCAAGTTACTACAAATGGGAATCATATTTCCCATTTCCGATAGCAAATGGGTAAGCCCAACACAAGTGGTGCCAAAGAAGACCGGAGTGACGGTCATTGAAAACAAAGAAGGCGAAATGGTGCCCACCCGAATCCAAAACGGGTGGCGAGTTTGCATTGACTACCGAAGACTCAATTCGGTAACTCGAAAAGACTTTTTTCCACTACCCTTCATTGATCAAATGCTAGAAAGATTAGCAGGGCACAAGTTCTATTGTTTTCTTGATGGTTACTCCGGGTACTTTCAAATACCAATAGCCCCGGAGGACCAAGAGAAAACAACCTTCACATGTCCATTTGGCACTTTTGCCTACCGACGAATGCCCTTTGGATTATGCAACGCACCGGGCACCTTTCAAAGGTGTATGATGAGCATCTTCTCCGAATTTGTGGAGGTGTTCATGGAAGTCTTTATGGATGATTTCACAATTCATGGGGACTCCTTTGACACTTGCCTCTACCATCTCACTCTTGTGCTCAAAAGTTGTATTGAATCCAACCTTGTCCTAAATTCTGAAAAATGCCACTTTATGGTGGAACACGGGATTGTTCTTGGACATGTGATCTCTTCAAAAGGCATTGAAGTAG